TCCTGCATCCTCCTGCCTGGCCCAGCCCTGCCCTGGCGTCCCCGGGGGTCGTGGGGGCGGTGGGCACTGCGGTGGCACTGTGGGCACCGGCTCGTCCCCTCTGGTCCCACCCCACCCAGGTGGGTCTCAGCCCCTGGGGTCTTGGCCCACCCTGGCTGACGAGGGCACTCGGAGGGTCCCTGGCTGGGGGCCGAACCCCTCATCCTCCTTGTGCCCGTCATTCCCCTCATCCCTGGCGGCGGTGCCGTGGGTCTGGGTGCCCCCCAGCACAGCCCTCATGTGGGGCAGCGTCTTGCCTCGGTGCTTGAGGCAGAACTGGGGGCAGATGTGGGCGTGGGACCAACTGGGCTGGGGTGACGAGTGCCCGGCGTGCCACGGAGACCTGGCGCGCTGCACGGGGTCACTGCCACCCCGCCTGGGTCCTGAGGGAGGGTCCCTCAGCAGTGGCACAGCTGTGCATGCCAGCGACATTCCCGAGGGGGGCTGGCTGCCCGCGGGACCCCGGCAGCTGCTCCTGCTCCCCTGTTCCGGAGCGAGGGCAGCGGGGTGAGGGAGGCGCCGGCTGGCACCGGGCTCACCCACGGCAGGGCTGGCACTGCCACCGCGCAGCCCCGGGGCAGGAGCCGGCCCAGGAGGGGCTCCTGGTGCCAGCATCGTGCCAGCACCGCCGGGCTGTGCCACGCTGCGCACGTGGGTTCCCTGGCCTTTGTCTGGCGGAGGGGTCCCTGGGGGTTCCTGCAGTGGGGTCTCTGGGTTGGGGGTTCTGGTGGGGTCCCAGCCCACCTCACGCCCCCCGAGTGGGCACAGCTGGCACGTGCTGTCCCCGCCCCAACAGGTCGATGGTGTTTGACCTTCACCAAATGACTCATTGATCGTGTCTGGGGACGCCCCTCGCTGCCAGGGGGGCTCGGGCAGTGCTGGGGCAGTGCGGGGGTCTCCGGCAGGGCTGGCACCGTGCGGGGCTCTGGGCAGAGACCCCCTCGGGTGGTGCCAGTCCTGGTGCTCTCTGTGCCAGTCCCAGTCACCCACAGGGGCAAGGTAGGCAGCCTGGCCCAGGCGTGAGTGCTGTCACCTCATGGGGACACCAAGTAGTGTCCCCTCAGCACTCGTGGCACCGGCAGCTGTGGGGGCAATGGGAGACGGGCAGGGATGGGGTCCAGCAGCCCTGCTCTGGGTGCAGGGACCACGGGAGGGGTGGCACTGGCCAGAGTGCAGACTGGTGTCACCGGAGCAGGGGGCTCAGTGGGGTGGGAGCCCCCGGCTCGGTGCCAGGGCCCCTCCACTCTGCGGATTTCCCAGGATAATCCATTGGCACGGCCCATGGAGGATGTGCAGCCCGAGCCCTGCACCGGGGGCATCCCCAGCAAGGGTGGGCAATGGGGTGACCCCCCCCCCGGCCACGGGGAGCTCCTGGTGGTCACCCCGGCCCCGCCCCTGCCCCGCAGCACCATGATGGCCAACGCGGCCACCATGAGGATCCTCATCAAGGGGGGCAAGGTGGTGAACGACGACTGCACGCTCGAGGCCGACGTCTACATCGAGAACGGCATCATCCAGCAAGTGGGGCGCGAGCTGATGATCCCCGGCGGGGCCAAGGTCATCGACGCCACCGGCAAGCTCGTCATCCCGGGCGGCATCGACACCAGCACCCACTTCCACCAGACCTTCATGAACGCCACCTGCGTCGACGACTTCTACCACGGCACCAAGGTACCCCCCGCGCCCTGAGCCCCTGGTGTGGTGGTCTGCCTCCCGCTCTGGTGGTGTGGTGTGGTGTGATGTGGTGTGATGTGGTGTGGTGTGGTGTGGTGCCGCTCTCTGCCCCGGCAGCGCAGGCATCCCCGGCAGCACCAGCTCCAGAGCAGCGCTGTGCTGTGGCACCGCCCGTCCCCACGTCCCCCATCCATCACGTCCCCATGTCCCCATCCATCACGTCCCCTTCCTGCGAGCACCCTCCTCCCGCTCTGGGGCCGTGGCACCCCGTGCCAGCTCGGGGACCCTCTGCCCTCCCTGCGTCGGTGGCACCACGTACCGGGTGCCGCTGCCTGGGGGTGTCGAGGGGCCAGCACAGGATTGTCCCTGCGGCTCGTCCCGCTGTCCCCAGTGCCCGCACAGAGCAGCCATTGTGCCAGGCCGGCGCTGGCCGTGCCTGTCCCCGGGGTGTCCCTGGGCGGGGGGCTCGGTGATGGGGTCCCTGGGGGGGGGGACAGGGGCCGGTGCAGCGCCCACCCCGTGCCAGGCCTGCTTCCCATCACCATCACCCGCCCCGTGGCACCGCGCCGGCGCCTCCCGTGAGGGCCGATGGGCAAAGGAGCTTTGGGGATTAGCGGGGCTGGGTGAGCCGGGGACACCGGCGGTGCCACAGCGCCTGCCCTGCCGCCCACGCCGCGCCGGGGGGGCTCCCCGCGGCCCCACCCCGCGCGGGGCTCTGTGCCGGGGGGGCTGCCGGGCCCCCCAAACCCGGCGGGTTGTGCGGCGGGGACGGGGGGTGACAGGATGGGGCTGTGCAGATGTGCTGCGTGCCCAGATGTGCTGCTGCAAACGGGCAGCTGTGGGCGGGGCCAGGGACGTGGGGGGGGTCCCTGCCTGCACCCAGGGCCCCCCCCACCTGCCTGTGGGCAATGCCGTTCCCAAATGTGGCCCCCCCAACGTGTTCCCTGCCTGTGGGCAATGCTGTTCCCAAATGTGGCCCCCCAAACGTGTTCCCTGCCTGCCGTTCCCAAATGTGGCCCCCCAAACGTGTTCCCTGCCTGCGGGCAATGCCATTCCCAAATGTGGCACCTGAGGGCTCCCCCGGCTCACGGCCGGGCAGGATCGGTGCCGGCAGCGGGGAGGGGATGGATCCCGCCCCCCCCCCCACCGCGGTCCCTGTTTCCCCCGCAGGCAGCGCTGGTGGGGGGCACGACGATGATCATCGGCCACGTCCTGCCCGACAAGGAGACGTCGCTGCTGGACGCCTACGAGAAGTGCCGCAGCCTGGCCGACCCCAAGGTGTGCTGTGACTACGCCCTGCACATGGGCATCACCTGGTGGGCGCCCAAGGTGAGTCCGGCGCGGCTCCGGGAGCCCGGGAGCAGCTGCTGTGGGACTAATTCCCAGCCCCGTTGATCCCATTAGCTGCCCGGGAGGTGGGCTGAGCCCCCGGGCTGCCTTTTGAGCTGCCCTGAGCCGGGCTCAGCAGGGCAGGGGCTCAGGGGTTCCCCTGGGGCAGGGGGTCCCTGCGAGGCCGAGCCCCTCGCTGGGTAGGGAAGGTGGTGCTGCTCCAAAGGGAGGATCGGGGTGCCCAGGGAGGGTGGTCCCAGTTTGGGGGGGGACCCCAACCTGCAGCGTGACCCCCGTGGGGATGGCGGTGGGGGCTTGGTGCCTGGAGCACATCCCACAGCACGCTCAGCCCCTGCAATCCCCCCAAAGCTGCCAGAGGGGGATCAGACCCCGGCCCCGACCCCCCCAGACAGAGCAGGGAGTGGAGGGATGGAGCGAGTGCCCCCCTGGGGTGTGAGAAAATCCCCTCCACGCCCCTCAGCAGCTGTCGCTCCCCCAATCACCCACAAATCCCACGTCCCCAGTGGGGTGTGTGTGTCCCTGCCCCGCGACGGGGCCCCTCATGGCATGTGGGGAGCGGGTCCACACTGAGCTCCCCGTCCTGGCACAGGTGAAGGCAGAGATGGAGACGCTGGTGCGGGAGAAGGGGGTGAACTCCTTCCAGATGTTCATGACCTACAAGGACCTGTACATGCTGCGGGACAGCGAGCTCTACCAGGTCCTGCGCGCCTGCCGCGACTTCGGCGCCATCGCCCGCGTCCACGCCGAGAACGGGGAGCTGGTGGCTGAGGTGAGCACGGGGGGACGGGGGGGTGCCACGGGCCCCCAGCCCGGGGCAGCAGGACCCCCACCCTGACCCCCCCCGAATCCCTCAGGGAGCCAAGGAAGCGCTGGATCTGGGCATCACGGGGCCGGAGGGCATCGAGATCAGCCGGCCCGAGGAGGTAGGTGATGTCTGGTGTCACCGTGTCACCGTGGCGGTGGCACGGGTCGTGGCTGGGGTGATCTGGGACATCCCACCCATCACCGTGTCCCCCACCTGCCCTTGGGTGCCGCTGTGCCCTGCCACACGTGTCACTGCTGGCTCTCTCCGCAGCTGGAAGCCGAGGCCACGCACCGTGTCATCACCATCGCCAACAGGGTGAGTGGTCCCGAGCGTGGGGTGGGCTCAGAGCGGGCGCCTCAGTGCCACGGCGGGGTCCCCACGGAGCCGGGGTGCCACAGGGACGGTGCCACTGACCCACTCTCCACCACAGACCCACTGCCCTGTGTACCTGGTGAACGTCTCCAGCATGTCTGCGGGGGACGTCATCGCCGCTGCCAAGATGCAAGGTAGGGGGCACGGGTGGGGACCCACCTCCCCAGCACGTGTGTGGGCAAGGGGGACCTGTGAAGGCACAGAAACACCCACAGACACGGGACACATGTGGGCACCGGGCAGGTTGTGGGCTTGGAGGAAGGTAGACGTGGATGGTAGAGCTGTGGGCACGCAGAGACACACGGGAAGGGACGGACACAGGAAGGGACAGACACACGGGCACAGGAACACGTGTGTGCCTGCAGGGCCGTGCCCTCGCACGGGTGTGAACACCTGGAGCTGCAGCCACCGGGCACCCCCGGGGACACACATGTGAGCACCCAGGGGACACACGTGTGAGCACCCAG